GCGGAAGGGTGGCCCCAATCCGGCGAGGTGAAGTTGCCCCTGCACCGTGCTCCTGCCCCAGGTGCAGGCGTTGGCAGGGTGGGCTGCCTCCCCCCCCCAGCCCCACCACCCCTCCAGGGACAAACCCTGCGATTCCAGATGCGCGCTGCCCAGGGTCACTGGGCAGCCTCAGCCCAGCAGGCACCATGGGCCCCAGGCGCCTTCCCCTTCTCCCCACCAGCTGCAAGGCCCGTGCTGGAACACTAAAGGCTCCTCTGTCTTTTACACGTAGTGGTGGGGCCGGCAGAGGCACTGGGCCCTGGCAAGGCCTGGGTCCTGGTGGCACCGTTGCAGAGCAGGCAGGGTCAGCTTGCTGTGCCCGTGCTCAGGCAGGCCAGAGAGCGGAAGGTGAAGAACCGCTTTGTTGTGAGCCTCTCCTGCTTCCCTGGGTAAATAAACTTTTAATTTTCACACTGGTTGCTGTCAGTGGCTCCCCAGGGTGGACGCCATCCGGGCGCTGGGCCCGCTGGTGGAATGACGGTGCAGCTGGTGTGTAAGCCCATCTCCATGCTTGTCCCCCAGCAGACACAGGGGTGCAGACAGATGTACGGTCCCAGTGTGACAGTCACACAGCGGGGGGATGGCGCATGTTTAGCATAGCTCAGTTGAGGCCGAGACACATGTACAGAGTTACGGCCCTGTGCCCTGGGAGCTAGATGCGTTCCTGGACTCGGCATCCCTTGACAAATGGGAGCACAGCAGTTTTGAGACATGTTTAATGGGGGCAAAAGTGAAGGGTGTTGAAGAACAGGACTGAAAGCTGCCACGGTCCAGCTCACTGGAAGGAGAAGCTGGTGCTCGGGAGTCCCCCACACCACTGGCTGAGGAACTTGAGCACATCCTGGCACGCGGGGCTGTGGGATGTCTGCAGAATGAGAGAGGCCTTGGCAGCAGCAAGGTGCAGCGCCATCACCCCACCCCTGGGCGCCCCTGGGGCCGATGGAGCCACACAGGCAGGGCTGGGTCTGTCCCAGCTCCATGATGAGGTGAATCCCTGCCCAGCACATGGGGAGGGTGCACTGAAACTGCTCTGGTTCAGTGTATCTCCACCCAGCAGGACAATGGTGACCGCCCCGCAGCCTGCCTCCCTGCCCCACAGGGTGCCTGGCTCACCTTGACAGCCATCAGGAACTTGTTCCACGTGTCCTTGTTAGCTTCTCGGCCTGGCCGCTTGAACTCTATCTTGTTCCTTAGCACGGGGTACCCTGGTCACACAGCGACACCCTCAGAAAACAAGCCGAGACCCACAGCGGACCCCCACCTTGTGCGCCCCTTCCCTCTCTGCCGTGGCCCGCTGGCCATGGCTGCTCCCAGGGGCAGCGCAGGGGAACAATGTCACCTCTGGCTTCTGGAGACCAGAGTGAGGGAGGGGGTGGCCGCAGTGGTGGGATCAAAGGAAAATGAACGCCCGTCTCTCTGGCAGGGACAGCCAACCATGCCAAATGACAACACCCCGCTCCGGACCTTTGTAGCCAGAGCGCTGTTGCTGGTGGCACACCCCATCTCCCCCTGTCTCCGGCCCACTCGATAAGTTGTGCAGTCTGCGGTGTGCATGGGGGGATAGCACACACCAGAATGGACCGCTTTTGTGACGAGAGGCAAAGCAGGGACAGGTGCTACATGTGCATGTGTGTCTGTGCTGGCCAGCGCGGGCACAGTCTGTGCGAGACTGCAGTCACAGAATCACAGAAACACAGAATGGTGGAGGTCGGCAGGGACCTCTGGGGTCCATATGGTCCAACCCCCTCTCCCCCCCAGCTCAAGCAGGGACACAGCCAGTTGCCCAGGACCACGCCCAGCTGGCTTTCGACTTGGCCCCAGTAGGGAGATGAACAAACTTCTGTCCGAGACTGCAGTCACAGAATCACAGAAACACAGAATGGTGGAGGTCGGCAGGGACCTCTGGGGTCCATATGGTCCAACCCCCTCTCCCCCCCAGCTCAAGCAGGGACACAGCCAGTTGCCCAGGACCACGTCCAGCTGGCTTTCGACTGTCCCCAAGTATGGAGATGCCACAACTCCAGTGCAACCTGTTCCAGTGCTCTGTCACCCTCACAGTAAAAAATGGGTCCTTCCATCTCCTCTAGTAGAACTGGTCCCACAGCCACACAGTTGCCCTGCTCCTCTTACAGCACAGCCCGAATTCCCTCCCAGATCCCCCCTGGCAACATATTCCCCGTCCCTGCATGGCACTGCATTGCCCATGTGTGAGCTGGCCTGCAGCTTACCTGTAAGCACGCAGGGCAGGGAGCGCACCCCTGTATTTGCTGCCACCAGGGAGGCTTCATATGTGTCACGCTCGTCCTGCGGCAGCACCTGCTCCAGCCGTTGGTCCATGGACATGGTGAGCACCCAGTCCCTGACCTCTTCCCGCTTCTCCTCCTGCGGGGCAGAGGACAGGGCACCGCTGATACTGCATGCTGTATTGTTGCCCGGCTGCTGCCCCACTGCACTGGAGAGTACGCCGGGGAGAGCAGGACATGAGTCGGGTGGGATGGGTGTATGCATGTGTGCACAAGCACACATATATTGGGAGGGGAATATGAGTATGTGTGTGCGCACTGGGGCTGCATGTGTGTTTGCGTGCGGGGGCACAGGGCAGTGGGCAATGCTGAGTACATTTCCATCTCCTGCAGTGCCCGCTGTCCCACCCTTGCCCCAGTCCCTGGTCAGAGGGGGTCCTGAAGTGTCACTGTTGATGGGAGATGGAGAAGGCAGATGACACTCACAGGCACGTGCTGATGGGCTGGAAGCGGCACTTCAAAGGGAATGTCTGTGCCCTGGAAATCAGAGTGGTCCAGAGAATCCAGGTTCCCTTCTTCAATGGCCTGAGAAAGGAGAAGTGGTGGAGCACTAGGCAACACTGCCTTGGTGTTGCCAGTATAATCTATATGGTGAGGATGGCATTACTGATGCCCCTTTCTATTAGTGCTGTGGTCACTGGGCCCTCCTGGGAGGTGGCATTTACAGCTATCCTCTCAGTGTCAGAGGCTGCGTACCCCTCAAACACTGTACTCCTCAAACTTGTCTGGTGGCCTCAAAGAAGGGAAAGATGAAATGGGGAGCTTTTTTTTTCCCCAGCAGCTGCTGACAGCACTTAGAAGACTGGTACAGTAAGGTCTGACAGCTTCCTAGGCTTTGGTGTTGTCTGGTGACCAACCTGCTAGTCAAGGAAGGAGCTGACTGGCAAGGGGTGGTGCTGGTAGTGGTAGCTCCTGTCTTGTATCACAGTGGCCAAAGCCCTGTGCCATGCCCTCCACCCCTCAGGAAATTTTCCATCCCTTGGAACAACTCAGCTGAGATCATCCTGAAAGCTGTAACGGCACTTGCAGCCATGAACGCTATAGACATAACCTGTTAGGCCAGCTTGCTCTTTGCCGCAGGTCGCGTGCATGGTGGCACTGGCACACACAGGGTGACACAGTCAGAGCTTCTCAGGTGCCCCACATGGTGAGTCCTTCCACAGCTAGTGCTAGGGTACTTGGTGCTGTGTGTGCACACACATGAGCAGCATTTAGCATTCTCCATCAGCACCAGCTCAAACGTGTGCTGCCACATTGGAACCTCAGCAGTACCCTGGACAGGCTGAGGGTCTGGTTTGGCCCCACAGCCCCTCGTCATTTTGAGTACGATAGCCCTCCCTCCAGCAGACTATACGCACGTGTGAGAGTTCCAGGAATCGGTTCAGGAAGATGAATGCCGTGTTCTCCCAGTTGACTGCCTAGTACAGAGAGAAACCCCAAGTGAGACCAGACAGCTTATCTTCACAGCCACAACTGTCCTGCCTGAGCAATGGCTAGAAAGTCTGTGGCTCTGTTTGTGCCACAACATCCCGCTCGCAGCACGGGTAACAGAGAAGGAGAGTGCATATCCCGGCTCACCATCCCACAGGACTGCTTCACAGGCAACCGCTGTGACAACCAGCCCACTAGCCACAGGCTGTCCCGCAAGATGGAGTCGGGCATTACTGCACAGCCAGCAGCACACAGTGGGACCGTGTTGCTCTGCCTGCTGTGTGTCGTTGCGCCTGGGCAGGCAGAGCTATAGCCTCAGGAGTAAGGTAACACTTAGGTGACCCAGAGCAAGGCAGATCAGTTAGGAGTCCTGGATCTACACTAGCAGAGCCACGCAATATAATGTGGCTCCTGGTCTACCCCTGGGTCTGCAGTTCATGTCCCTCTTGCTGGCTCACGTCTGTCCTCCCACACCTCCTGCCATTCCACGACAAAACACAGAGGCTTGCAAGCTGTTTGCGGAAAGGCCTCCAGTGCCAGTCCCTGACTACTGGTCTACCAGTGCAGCTAGGGGAAGGTAAAGTTAAGAAACCCTGAGCCCAGGGCCCTCCACCTCCTTAGCTGCTCTGGTGGCAGGTAGCTCTTACCTTGGCAGCTATCCCAGCTTCGTAGAAAGCCTTGTCTGCAGGCAGGAGCTCGGTGTGGCGCAGCAGGGAAATGGACAGCTTGGCAGCCACAGTGTCCTGCAAACACAGAGGACAGTAAAGCCACAACAATCAGCACAGAAAAAGCAGGTCAGAAGGGATCCCATGAGATCATACTGCCCCAGACTCACGGCAGGGACGCTGCACCCATGTGTTCCCAACATGTAACAAACAAAGGTTAAAAACTTCAGTCCTGACAGTAAGTACCCTCACTGTGTGAACACAAGGAAGACTCACCAGAAGATGAAGTTCTTCTGCTTTATAAACCTTGCTCTTTTTCACTAGAACCCACACCCAAACTCCCACCATTTGAGTCAGAATAGTTGAGGTTGGAAAGGATCTCTGGTGATTGCCCAGTTCACCCACTCCGTTCAATGCAGAGTCAGCTACAGCAGGTTGTTCAGGAACATGTCTGGTCAGGTTTTGAGTATCTCAAGGGACGGAGACTCTCCACCCTCTCCAAGAAACCTGTTCCGGTGTTCAGCCAAAGTCACAGTAAGTTTTTTCTTGTATTCAATCACATAAGAATTTTGAAGCGGGGGTGAGGAATTCAAGGGAGATTTCAGTTTTCTGCTTGCCAGACAGGTTTGCATCACAAGGTTTCCAAGACTCAGACTTGGCTGTTTCTGTCGGACATGTCTCTGGACCCCCACCATCTACACATGCAGCCATGGGGAAACCACAGTCTCCCCTGGCTGTTCCTGGGGTCCTAACTGTAGCAACCTTTCTTTTTCACAGCCTGCTCTATCACAGCTCCAGTCCCACACTCATACAGAGCTCTACCACAATTCCACAGTCCCATACAGTTCAAGACTTCAGCAGGGACTCCGCTATATAGTGTGGCCCAGAACAAACCCCAATGCATCTAAGACTCAAAAATACTCACAGTGCCTCGTGATGCCCAGTACCCAGGCCCATGAACTCCCAAAGCCCCATAGAAGGCCCAACACACAGGTCCAGTATCTGCCAAAGCCCTGTGTGATGGCAAGTGCCCCGGCCCACGAGCTCCCAAAGCCCTGCACAAAGCCAATCTGCTCTCAAGACCATGTGTGAAGCCCGGCAGCTCTCACTGCCCAGGACAGCTGAAGAGGAAACAATGCCTCTCCTCGGAAGACCAGATTTTTCTGTGAGCCCTAAATTTCTACTGGTGCATATGCTCTCATAAGGCAGAGGCATGCTCTCATCCATGCCGAGCATATGGATCAGCTTCCCACTGGTTTACATCTCAGCCTCAGTGGTTGGAGACAGGTACTGCTATAAGGAGTCAGAGAAGACTATCATCTCCAGTTCCAACTGATAGCGGTGGGCTCCCAGATCACTACAGTCCCATTCTCGTGCAGCCATGATGTGCAAGTGACCCGTGAAGTGAAACTGAACTATGGACAGCCTTGAACCTGTACATCCCCACAGGGCTCTGCACTCAGGGTGGTGACCTGGCAAAGGAACTTCAAAAACCTTACCAGTTGCTTCACGCCCTGAGCAGCAGAGCGGGTGGCATAGTAGTGACAGATCAGCAGCATCGTTTCAAACTCTTCATGCGCTGGAGTGTTAGCCTCACTTGACTTTACTAAGTTTTCACACTGAAGAAAAGGAGAGTAAATGAGAACCAGAGAGCACAGGGGCACTCTTCATCCACTTGAGTTCAGGGAAAATATGGGAGAGAGAAGGTTCTGAATATCTAGGCAACTCTAGGGGCTGGAGAAGAGCTGGGCCTTGGGTGCTCTGGGTCCTACAGAGTGCTGAAGGGAGGAGGCTGTGGGAGAAAGGGAGAGCCAACGGTACTGCAATAACAGCACTGGAAGAAGGGGTGAGTTTGCATGGACAAAGTGGGATTTGTGGATATAGTTTGTGCTAGAGGAGGGTATTTGTGGGACAGAGACAGAGAAGAGGCAATCACGGGCTCTGGCTGGGTATTTTGGGACAGGGAAGAAGGAGCAGAAGGCTCTAAGCATCTCTGGGGAGATGGGGAGGACTCTCATTTTCCAGGGTCTGTAGTTCTGTGATTTCACCGGGTCTTTGCCCCACCCAGGCTGCTGAATACAGGTGTGGGACGAAAAGTGGGCATGTTGTGACAGGCTCCCATGTAGCAATGACACAGTGAGCTCTGCAAGTGCCAGCGTCCAGGCCAGCTTCTAGGATTTGGCCTTGAGTGCAGGGTCATCTCCTTCCCTGACTCCTCTTGCCCAGCCACGTCCACTTCACAGGATCCTGTTGTTCTACTGTCCACATGGTGGATATTTCCTCATTTCCCTTGGCTTGTGTTCTACAAATACTTCCCATGTCACCTGGCTCGAGACTGGTTCTTCTTTCTCCCCTGCTAGGAGCCACCATGGTGCTGGAGTCTAACAGGCAGTGGTAGCCACGGCCCACACTCACCAGATGGAAGAGAACCTCCCGCAGGTCAGCCCAGCTGGAGTAGGCCTCGGCGCAATTCATGCCAGACGCATTCACCATCTCCACAAAGAGACGCTTGTAAATGTTGAAATTCTGCAACAAAAAGGAGAGAAATCTGCAGAGACAGCTACAGGGGGAGTCGGCAGAAGCCGGACCTCTCCTGCTGTCCAGCACAGCCTGAGGCAGTGGCAGCTCTGCACAGGGGCTCCTGGAGCAGCACTGATGGCTGCAAGGGTGCTGCAGGACAGGGCAGGGACGTGGGGAAGAACGCTCCCTGCATTCCTTTTTTTTGAGGCAAACTTGGTTCCTTTTATTCTGGTCTTGGTGGTGAAGGTGTTCAAAACAAACACAAATGCTCAACTCCCCCCTGCTCCTTCCCCATGGAAAACATGCCTTTAGTCCTCCAGCTGAGGAGCCTCTGGAAGAACCCACAGTAGGGCTGAGGTGGCTTGGACCTGTTGAACACTTGGCAGTCCCAGCTCTGGACCGACCCATGCAGCAGATCATAGCACACTCTGGCAACTCACACTGGGATGTCAGGCTGTCTTCATTACCTGTGGGTTGGCAGGCGCTCCATGGTGGACATACAGGCTCAGGGCTTTGTGCCAGCTGCCTTCCCGGATGAGGTGGGTTGCATACAGAGCTACGTACTTGTGTAAGACTTTATAGTTCTGGAGAAGGCACACACAAAGCAGTAGCATGAGATTCATGAACTGAACACTTGTCACTCAGCAGGGACGGTTTCAGACGCACGGACACACACCCCTACGCCTGAGTCCCAACAGGCGACCAGCTAATCACACAGCGACAGACTGCATTTGGGCCCTACCTGACACCTCTAATCCTGGCTGAGTAATTTTGTTAGGTTTTGGTCAGTAAAAATGAAAAAATGTAAAAGTTGCATTCATGACAAGGGTGTCTCATTTCTACCAACACTAGGAGTCGTTGTAGAGATGGACACGACACTCAATATCCAGTTACAGCAATCGTCATCCTTTATTTTACAAGCAGTGCTCTTTTATATCCTCTTAGCTGGTTGCTTATCTGTGCATATATTCTAACATTCTACTTTTGCCCAATCCACTCTCACATCACACACCATTCAGCCAATACAATTGTTGATCACGCGCTGTTCATGCTCTGGGAAAAGCCAGGATGTTTGCCACCCCTTATCTTGTTTGCTCGGATCTTCTCAGGATTATTCTGTCTCCTCAAGGGTACACGGGTATCTGTTCAGGGTCAGTGTTAAACTTGTATTTTGATCCCTTGGACCAGCCAAGGTCTCCCACAACTAGGCCTCTAAAGAACATGTGAAAGATGGCTTTCTGTTACAAATCTCTCTGTTTCTATGGTACCAATTACTTCCAGCCCAAACAACTCACTTAGCTTTTCCCAAAGCTCCATTAATCACAAAATTACAAATCACAAAAAAAAATCACAAAAACCCAATATGCTTCTGGGTTCTAATGCTTCCCTATTAGGCCTGACTGGGCAAGATGGGGACAGTGGAGAGGTGTTGTTTGAGCTGCTGCTGCAGTGACCTCCGGGCTCCCCACAGAAACGACCGCCTTGCCCTGCCCGCGCGTTCCTGCGCACCCTGCCTCAGAGAGCCAGGACCCCACGTCTGCCTCCTGAGGGCTCACACAGGCACTCACCTGCTTAGCTGCAACCTCTAGGCACTTCTCCCATTGCTCCTGCTCTGCATACATATCCAAAGCAGCCATGACGTCTATTCCCACTAGCTGGGGATGGAAACAACCATAAATCCACTGTGCAGGCAAGGTTTCCTACCAGCATCAAGGCAGGCATCAGCCCACCCAGGTGCTTTCTTCACTTACACACAGTCCCTCCCCCTCCACGCTATGGAAGCACAGAGCCAGTATGACCCATCCGGTGTGCAGAAACCGTGACTCATGGGCACATACAGACTCCTCACCTGTGGGCACATTCAGGCAACAGCCCCATAAGAAAGGCCCCAAGGATCTGCACAGATCCCGACATCACTCCCTAGCCTGTGAGACATCCCAAATACGTACCGAATCTACCTTTCCTTGGTTCTTTAAATACTCCTTGTAACGCTGATCCACATACTCCTCTGACCTACTGGGCAGAAAGACTCTTAATAGGCAGCACGACTAATAGTGTCTGGCATCAGTGCAGAGGCTGGGCTCAACTTTGTCTGCTTTGGGAAAAAGAGGACCTACAGCCGTGCCACGTCTTTCTGGCCTGCTGGTGGGAGCACAGGTAGAAGGGGAAAGAAAGGGTCTAGGCAGCTCTTTGCCATATAATGCGTGAGGAGAGTGAGGGACCGCAGGACTTTCAGAAGGAAGTACATGCACAGGGTTATGACAAGGGACGGGGAGATAGGGATGGGACAAAAGGGGATAACAATTTCCATGGGATGTGTGGCAATAGAGAAGTGTCAGGATGGTAAATGTCTGGGGAATGGCAGCTGTGAAGAACGGGCCCTATACAGTCTGTGAAGGCCACTGTGGGGAGAATCCCAGGAAGCTGGGGGCAGCAGGACAGGACAGGACAAGGGATCATCTGGGGATGAAAGACGGAGCAGGAAGAGTACAATTTGAGAAGTTCAGGACATACCTGGGGTCCAATTCCTTAGCGATGCGCTTGGCTTTGCTCCATTCCTCCCCTTCAATGAAGGCATCAATAGCTTCTTGGATGAGGTCCAAGTTGAGGTAGAGTTCAGCTGCCTGCAGGGACAGAGATAGTCCCGTGGGAGATGAAACCCCAAAGGCACCCTGCAGCCCATGCTGGAGCTGATGCTGTCGGAAGTGACCAGCACACAACAACGACAGAAAGTCTCTTCCCAAAAGATAATGCCCCCTCTGCTTCCTGCCTCCTCCCAAGGCCTAGCTCTCACACTGTTCCAGGACTTTATCCCTTCCCCTTCCTCCTCCTCCTTGAGGACTCTGTGCTGCCCAACTCTGCATAGGGCCATCCACCCACCACCCCAGGATGTGACTTCGCCTCTTGCCCTTGGATACAGCTCTGCCTTCCTATGTCACTGCTTCTTCAGTAGTCTGAAGACAGGTATCAGCCCTCACCGCACTGTATTTCTTCATGGCCACCAGCTGAGGAGCTACAGTCCGCGTCACCTCCATGCTCTGTGACTGACCCAAGAATTTAATGGCCAACTCAGCAGCCTGTGAAGAGAAATTGTCAGCAGCACAAGTGTCAGCACAGCTGCTCGAGACAGGGATGAATCTGGGAAGAGCTCAGTCCTAGCTAAAAGACTGAGAGTCAGGAGTGCTTGAACTATGGTGTAAGAGAAGAAACAATAGCCCACTTCAGCAATTCAGAGAAGCAAAGCCCAGCTACTTTCACACATGGCAGAAGATCAGACAAGGACATAATTGTTGTTGAAGTTGGTACAAGGGCACAGGTACAAGTGAAAAGTATCGACAAGAACACAACCCAAAGGGTGGTAGACATGGACCACAAAAAGAAGAAAGGGTGCTCATCAAGCCAAAGTCTAAGTCATGACATCCAGTTCTTCAGCGCATGGAGATATGGGCACAAAGATACTGGCCTGCTGCTGGAAGTGGTGCCAGAACAAGGATGTCAGTGCAGTGCAAGATAAGCACGCAGCCCATCATGGCTCAAGAGAATGGCCATGAAGGCTTTCAGACCCTGCGGTCACTGGAGCCTGCACATTCTCTGTTGTGCCCTGCAGTGATTGAGGCATCTCTGGGATGCACTGCAGGTTGTGGGAGAGCTCCTAGACAGCAGAGTAGATGAAGGGAATCACAGCCCCTGACTGTACCTTCAGCAAGCACTTCTCCATCAGGACACTGTTGCTGGGATCCCGCACTTTCAGATAGCAGTCCACTGCTCTGGCGTATTCCCCAGCCTGCTCCCACTCCCGTGCCTGCTCCAGCAGCCCTTCTGTTCCTCTGCAGGGAGTAACACAGGCTGTGAGCAAGACTGAGATGCTGCCACAGAGATCCTGTAAGACAGTGTATGGGGCACAGGCAGGGAGGTGCACAGCAGAGGTAAGCCAGGGACCTCAGAGGTGGCTGAGCGTGTGACAAGGAATGCACACAGCCAATGCTGAGGAAAGAATTGATTAAGGACCCTGGGGAGATGCATTGGCGGTACAGGAGACATGGGAGATCTGTAAGAGGCAAGAAGGCATCTGGGAGACCTTGGATGGCAAGAATAAGCCTGGAGTCTCCCCGAGCAGGGAGGAAGGATGTTAGGCAACCTATGCAGGAAGAAGTCCAGAGCCAGGCTATCTCTGCAAGGCATCAGCACAATGCCCCAGGGGAAGAGCTACCTGAGTTCCCTGCAGCCTGACCACCGCATTCCTTACCTGGTGCCCTTCTTGGCAGCCTCCCTGCTGCACTCCTCCTGTAACTCTTCCAGCCGACTAGGCACATATTCCTTGCAGATCCGCAGGGCCTCGCTCCACATTCCGGCCTCCTGCACAAGCCCAACGGGGAGGAGAAATTTTCACCAGTTCAGCAGGGTCTCCCACACTCCTGGCATCACATACCACATTTAGCCTCTCACGTCATCTTGCCAGAGGACCCACTGGAAGAAACAATCACAGCAGCACCACCCAGTTCTTTCCTCCCTCAAAAAGGCACCTGTGTCTACCCATTCACCCAGGCTACCTCGGGGGAAAGTGCTCATCCATCTCAGACATCTCTGTGGAATGGGCATTTACAGTCTCCAAATGCACCCACTTGTGCTCTACCTGAGGACCACCCACAGCCTTCTGGCAGGACACTTCCTCCCAGAGCTGTGGGACAGCTCAGCCATGCTCTGAAATCTCTGCTCACCTTGTAGTACTTTATTGCCAGCTCAGGTCTCTGTGCTCGCAGGAGGAAGGCCTCTGCTTTCTGGAACTCTCGCTGCTCAAAGGCAAAACGTGCCTGTCCCACAAGCACATCAGCCACGCTGTCTGGGTCATGAGCCTCAGCCACACGCTGTGCAGCATCCCAGTTCTGGTTATGCACAAACCTAGGGGAATCAACATGAGATGTAACAAAGAGGGACCACAAGGAGCAGACCAATGATGGAGAAGCAACCAGGCTGGCATCACGTGGGGAGAGGAGATGCAGCAGGCCAGGATGGAGAAGGATACATACATCAGCACTGCCTCCTTGGGTTTGCCAGCTTTAATAAATTCTGCTTCAGCCTCTTCAAATTTGCCCTAGGAGAGAGGAAGGAATTACCTGGCATGCCTTCCTGCCCTGATACCATTGCATGACCTCCTCCACTGACCATGAGGCAGAGAGGATTTATGAAACAAAAATTTGTGTGGAAGCCTGGGGTAATCACGAAACAAAGATTTGTATGGAAGCTTGGGGCTGTAATCATGGAGCCTTGTGGGTTAACAGTGACTGCAGCCATAAAAGTCACTGCTGCAGCAGCCCTTAAGGACAACTGTTCAATTACCTGAGTGACCAGTGAACTCCTACCTATTCCAGCGGGTAAAATTACCTCATCCTCTAAGAACATGGCATACTTCAAGTGGATCTCTGGCATCTTCTGCTTCATGGAAAGGCGGGCCAGTTCAAAAGCAAATTCAAAGACCCTACAACGAAAGAGAAAATGGGGTGAGAGCAGGACTATGTGCTGTGAGGTCGTGCCTTCATTCACAGCAAGACATCAAGTAGAGCACAAGATGCTGTGAGAGGAGAGAGGGGAATACAGAGGGTCCCAAGTGAATGGGAACTGCCCACTCGTCCTGTTCCTGACCAGAGAACAGGAACTTTTAGAGCCCCCACTAAGGAAATTCAGCTCCTTCACATTTGTTGTCAGTGCTGGAGGCCCTTGGTTCAACCCTAAAGGGAGGTCACAAGACTCCCCTGAGCCTAGTGATGCGGCAGAGCTGGGGGAGAGCAGCAGAGAAAGGCAGTGCAGTCGGATGGCTGGGCAGGTGCAGAGTGCAGCCAAAACTCTTCTGTCAGGCAGTTACTTATTGTGACATGAGGAATACCTCCTCCCATGTTCAGAGGCTCTCGCAAGGCCCCTCTGCTGAGGCTAAGGGCAAACCGCTTTTGCCTGCCCAGCTCTGACTTGACATTTGAGACCAACAGGTGGACAGGATGTGTCAAGGAGGAGGAATGCCTGTGTGAAGAAAGACGCGTGGGGTGCGAAGACATGCTATATCCTGGACCTGCAGCTATCATGTGCATACAGTTATCCTGGGCCACCCCTGTTTTCTTATGTCAGGTAGATGGGAGAGAAGTGGTGGGCTGATAGACCTGCTTACCCGCTGTCTGCTGCATGGTCAATGGCCATCTCCAGAAGTCCGAATTTACTGAGGAGTTTCACAGCTGCCTCTCCACCAAGGCTCTTTGCCCACATATAAGCCACATGCTTATAGGAGTTGGCTCCCCCATGTGCCTTGGCCACCTATTCAAAGCAAAGAAAGCAGAAGAGCCCAATGTATCCATCATCTTCCGCAAGCTGAGCCAGGACTCCCCTCTCACAGTACGCCTGTTGTCATGAGGGAGCACCAAAACCAACTGTTGTCTCCTTAGGAACCCTTCTGTGGCCACCACTGGACTGGGGAGAGTGAGACAAAGGCTTATACAGCAGAGCAGAGAAGAGGCTGCTGCCTCCTCAGCATGGCTCACACTACTGTTAGGTCAGCAGAAGTGACCCCTGGCGATCTGTGTCCATGCTGGAGGGGAGCAGTGCTGGGATGGAGGGCTGCTACAGAGTGGCTACGGCAGCGCAATACCTCTGAGGTACAACACGGTGCAGTGGTTAGGAGCAGAGCAGTGCCTGGAGGAAAGCAGTGCTGCACAGTAACCAGGGGTCAAGCCCTGCTTTTGGGGTGCAATGCTGCAAAGCAGCAAGCACAAGGGCCTCCAGTGCTGTGCCACAGGCTGAAGGCAGTGTATGCCAAGTCTTCAAATTCTGCACTGAATAGAGACAGAGCAGCTCCTACCAGGATCCTGCAGGCAAAGCCTGATCCCTGCACACTGGGATAGCTGTGAAGTGATCTTCAAGGTCCTTTCCAGCCTAAACCATTTTATGATTCTATGATTAATACCCTGTAAGCTTCCTCCCACATGTCATTCACTCTGTACATGTTTACTGTGGCCTTCCAGTCCTTAGCTTCCAGGTAGTGGTACTCAGCCTCCTGTAAGCGTCCCTCTGCCTCCAGCTCCTGCAATTAGAGGCAATGAGTTAGTGACACTCTTGTCCCTGCTTGGTGTAGTTGACCCCCTGCCTTAAGACGCACTCACCTTGCCCAGGTGCAGGTGGGTATCGCTGAGTAAGTCCTTGTGATACTTGGCCACTAAGCAAACCATCTCATCATACATCTTACACTTTTTGTACATGGTGATGGCCAAATCAGGTTCATTCACAGTGATATAGAGCCTGGGAACACAAGCACATTCAAATGGCTCAGCCAAAGACATGACCAGTCCCTGCAGTCTCTCTGCATCCTGTGCAGCTGGAACCGGACCTGGGACACACTGCCAAAAGCATGACTGGTGTGCAGCAGGACTGCTGTGGATGCAAGACTGAACACTGCTCAGATAGAGCCCTTCTGTTATGCCACCATCAGCTGCAGTAGGGCAAAGTTACTCCCTCCATCCTCACTTGTCAACCTGATCTGTGACTTAGGTGGAGCCTCTGGGCTTCTGTGACCTGTTCTCATCTTGGCCTCCAACCTGAGGCTGCCAGTTGGCAGTTGGAATTAGATGACTGGTGTTGGAACTAAATGATCTTCAAGGCCCCTTCCAACCTAAACCATTCTATGATTCTATGATTCCCTCTGCTACATGAGACAGCTGCACCCAACCTGCACCTCCCTTCAGTGACTTCTCTTCCTATGAACTCTGAAACATCAGCTCTAGGTCTCCACATGTGGAGAGAGTACCTCTGACTTTTCCAAACCCTAGTCCCAAACTCTACTCCCACCCCAGGAAAGCGCTCCTCCTCACCACAGCCATTTTTTCAGGGCTCAGTCTTGGACTTGTACCAAGGAAGATGCTCACCTCTCTGCTTCTTTGTACTTGCCCTGCTTCTCCATCTCTTTGGCTTGGGTTATATAGAGCACAGACACATCTTCCTGACTCATACACTTGATTGCCAACTGCCAAAAGGAACACACGTGGGAGAAACTACAGCACACTGCACAGCAATTTCTTGATACGTGGTAGGGAAGAAAAGGGGAAAATCAATCTCCTTCCCATGACAAACAGGTGCATGCACTATATGCTCTGCAGGGAATGGTAGCCTTTTGTCACTGGGATCAGAGCACACAGGACCAACCCCCTTGGAGGGTGCCATTTGTGTTACAGGTGCACCCACACAGTGCCAGGCACAGACTGGATGTGAATACCAGGGACTGACTTCTGGCTGGCTACCAGATGCCCCTGCATGCATCCTCTGGGAAGACTGCTTGTTGATCGGGTGTTGGTGCACAAGGCACCGCCACCTCCTGATGAAACACATTTCACCAAGCAGGGCGAGGTCCCCAGAAGCTTTGGCTTCTGACCTACCTTGTGAGCCTGTTCCCAGAGCCCAGCCTGTGTGTACATGTCGATGGCATCCTTGGTCTGGTCTCCTTTGATGTACAGCCCCAAGGGACACACAGAGCAGCAATGATGGTGCTCTGCGGCCTCACCTGATACTCCTGTAAAGCTGCATAGTGCTGGGCAATCTTGAGATAATATTTGGCTGCTGTCTGTTTGTCTTGCAAGTCCAAAATGTAGATGGCCTTCTTCCACTGCCGGGCTCCCAAGGCTGCCTCAATGGCCTTAACTGAGCACCTAGCATCAAAAATATAACTCTTTACAGCCAGCCAGCAGGCATCTCCTCCAGCTGAGCTAAGACAGGGAGAAAAAAATGGTCTGCTGCTTGATTTTTCTTCCTGGGTTAGAGCAGCAAAAGGGGTCTGAATAACTGGCAAAGCTAAGGGGAAAGAATGAAAAACTAGGACAGCAGGGAAGGGTAATCAAGGCTGAAAGACCCTGGGAGTGATGCAGGAAGGCATCCATGGTTGTGGCCAGCTGACGCTGCACATAAGCACCAGGGGCACTGGCAAAGCGGGGCCGAAGGGGCTTACTCAGGCAACCCCCCTGCTGATTTAAGCAAACCATATCAACTTCATAGCTTGCCAGGTTATACTGCTGCTGGTTATAAAGCCATCACCTGCCCCCACCTGGCTTCGATATAATGGTTAATAGCAGCATCCAGCTGTTTCTGCTGCACCAGATGGTCTCCCCAGGCCTCCTCCAGCTTCACAACTTCTGCAGGAAATGCCAGGCGAGCCAGCTCCACTGCTGTAAGGGGATATGTGAGCTGTTATGCCAAATCCAGCAAGGACGCAGAACTGAGACGAACAAGGGCCTTGAATGGGGTGCAGAGGGAGGGGAATGGTGACTGTCTAATCCACTCCAGCTCCAATGGGCTACCCAACAATCTGGACCCCATGGAGAGCTGGACAAATCCACGCTGGTGCAATCAGCATGATCAAGGCCTTGGGAACAGGACACTGTTCTGGGACTGTGTGTGCAGGTACAAATATGTGAAAATACATACATTCAATGAGATGATACATGGAAGCTTCAGAGCACCTAGGCATCTCCGGGCTCCAGGGCAATAGCTCATATTGCCATTGCCACCAGGCCAAAGTACCCAGGCTCCTACTGGGCATGGATGAGGTGAGGAACATATTTAGCACAGTACCTTTCAGGTAGGCACTGCCCTTGCAATAGCACTCCAGAGCCTTCCGTGGGTTTCCAACCTTCTCAAAGAGGTCTCCAGCCTAATGACAAATACAAGCTGCCAGGTTCCAGAGCCACTACTTCCCCACACCATCATGTACCCTACCAGTCCCATGTACAAAGCTTGTCAGTCCTACCACACAGACTCCTCCATCAGCTATGCCTTCCCCATTAACCAAGAGATAAAAGGAACTTCTAGGAAAGACTGCACGTACTGAGACCATTGTTCTCTCTGCCAATCCACGTATCCCAAGTATTTTTCTGGGGCATCATTTTCTATCAAGATAAGAGTTTTTGAGACAACCTCCCTTCTCTGCACAGTGGCTGGTGCAGCAACAGTCCCTTCTGTGACCACGGCCCCTAGGAGCTCTGCTAGGCAGATGCTCGTACAGGAGCTCTGGGCATGAGTAGTGAAGGGGGAAGCTCAGCCTCTTGCAGCAAAAGGTTTTTACCCTGTAGGAAAGGGTGGCAGCCAACAGGGTGGGATGAGGCTTAAAGCTTGTAGAACTTAGAATATAATAGAAGAAAGACCATCCCAACAGATCAAAGATTCATTCCCTTCAGTATTTGAATGGTGGTGAAAGTACATGTCTAAAGATTGCAAGAAGAGAGTGAGTATACACCAGCCTTTCCTCCATTATACCTATCCATCTCTGGCAATCTGCATTGTAGAAGCTTCCTGAGTTTGTGTCATGATGCCCTGACATCATCACATTTAAAGGCTTTTGACAGACTCTACCTCCACGATTTGTCTAATCACTTCTGGACTTTATACTATTTGGTAACAAGACATCTGGCAGCAATAAGTCCCACAGTCACCCTTTTGACTGAAGGCTTAAGAAAATGTGACAGGTTTGGAAAATCACAAAATTATCTTGGGTCAAAATGAAACAGTCAAGAAATGCTGAAGGTAAAATGAGACTGGAGAAATGTAATCTAAGCAGGGCACATAAAACAGGCCAGCAAAAAGAGGTTGTTTTTTTTCACAAAACACATGACTGATTAACTCATAGCCAATATTGTAGATCAAAAAGTACAGATGGTTCAAACAACAATTTGACAAGCTCATGGAAGTAAAATTTATCAGGAACTCTTAAATATAAAAATAAAACTGTTCAGGTACACTATAGTCTGCAAACTGCTGGAAACCATGATCATACACTAGGGGAAGTGTCAGCCTGTGTTTGCCTGCCCTGTTCTCTATTTCCTTTCTTAAACATCTGCAAGAGGCCACTGTTGGCCAGGATACCAAGCTGTACAGTGGTCAGACTCGGCACTGCTTTCTTACATTAACATGGTTATCTGTTGTTTAGAAAACACCCTTTTGTTTTAAAACTGCCACCTAATAACAAGTAGATACCATTTTTTTGTTTTATTAGACACAGAGAATAATCACTTCCTTTCTCTATGATATTAATGGTTCTACAGATTGTCTTCACAACCTCCTTTGTTTTTCTTCCTTAGCTTTTCCATTTAGACTATACTTATATGAAAGCTGTACCACCATTTTTTATTCTATGAGGAAGCACTGTACATTTTCACAGTGATACCAAGTTTTCTGTTCGATTCACAACTCCTTTCCTGTTGGTTCCTATCTTCCCAAGGGCCTCCTTGACTATTACTGAACACTCAGCTGGTGTTTCGGAGACATGTTGCCAATCTTTTTCCTGACTAATAACAGCAATTCCAGACCACACTCATGGATAATGGATGCAGTTAGGATTTCCTCCCAAATATTAACTGCAAACTTATCAACACAGAATTACATCTGCTACTTTCCAGCTCAGTCCCCCTGTACCTCACAGATGCAGAGGACAGGGTAAGAGCTTTGATGCCACAAAGAAGAAAGCCCAATGGGCTGGTCCACTCACCTGTTCATACAGTTCCCCTCTGATCAGTGCCATTGAGACCCTATTGATGACATCCCCATTGGTCAGCAACTCATCCCTGCTCATGGCCAGCCGTGCTGCTTTGGCTGGCAGCCCTGCCCGCAGGTATAAGCTGATGGCTGCCAGGTAGTCGCCCTGTCCCTCTTGGACCTCCCCAGCCTTCTCTTCTTGCTGGGTATCCAGCAGCCACTGGTAGTAACCCCGACGCATTTTATCCAGCATTGGGTGTCCCTGTTGAGAAATGCAGCATCGGTTGACCTGGGCAAGGCAAGATGTTGTTCTACTCATCCTGCAGGCTCTGAACAACTAGTTCATGGCACCATACTTCTTGCTGCCCAGTTAAACTAAGCAACTGCAGTTAGCAGAAACCACAATGCCAGCCCTGCGTACCATGCATCATCCATTCTTTTCCGAAGCCCTAGATACTCGTAAACCAATTTCAGTAGCTTTTCTCCCCCACTATTCACCCAGGACCATACTTACATCAATGCAACATTCCCTTCTGCTTGGAGCCCCTCCAAGCAGAAGGGAGGTCCTGATAGGACAGGTGAATAGAATCCACACCTTGAAGGGACTCCCAACCAGAAGACTTATCAAGCAAGCCCAACTCACAGTATGGTGCAGCTATATTCTGTACCTTGGCCTCGGCAACCACAATGCATTCATCCCACATGTGCAGCTCCTGGTACATGTCCATGGCCTCCTCTGTGGCATTCTGTGTCAGAGAGCAAAGCACAAACAGTGCTCAATTTAGCAGACATGTTGTCACTAAGCTCTCACAGTGGGCAGGATTAGATGTGCAGAAAACACACAGTGAAAAAGTGTACCGTCCCCTTCACATGGATATACATAATCCTTCACCCTCTTCACGCACCTCAGGGCAATCCTACACCTTGGAACAAGAAATATCTCCTTCTGTTTCAAAAGGCAAAGAGGCAAAACCTCTTCTCCCAGGAACAGGCAACCTCTTCCTTTTCTCTTTCACACCAGGAAAAAACCTATTCTCCCAGGAATAAGCAACCTCTTCCTTTTCTCTTTCACACCAGGACACAAGCCTCCTTGCTCAGAAATAAATGAGACCTTTTCTGCTCCCAGTTCCTTTACTCACTTGTTCCAGGAAGATCATCTCTGCCAGCTTGTAGTTCTTGTCTAGCATGGCCAAGCGGGCACGCACCAGATAATGGTCTGTACCATCCCCACCCTGCAGACAACATCAGTTAGCTCAATCAGTTTGTTGAGTGAAAGAAGAGGCTCTGGAATGATACAAGGGAGGTGACTGCAGGTGGGGTCTGTGTCATTACAGAAACTGAAGAAGACAGAGGAGAATCAGAGAAGTGACAAGACAGGAGCAATATGAAATGGCTAGCCAGAAGAGGGACCTGGCAAGCATGGATGAAGGATTATGTCAGCAGTTTCTACATGACCAGGTCCTGTAGAACCTGGTGTCTACAGGACAGGTCAGCATGGACACAGAAGATAATGTGTATGCAAGTGTTTGCAGGAAAGCAGTTGCCCTGCACAATAGAAAAAGTTTGACTCACATGCTCTTGAGCTGCCTGGTCAGCAATGGTATTGGTTTCATGCAGAAATCGAGCCTTTGCCATGTTGCCCAGAGCTGCAAAGCACCTGGAAAGAGCAAAGCAGTCATTCAATAACTGAGTTTTGTTGCCCATTTTTTTGTCCACAAAAAGAAAATCAGAACCTGGGCAGCAGAGCCAGCTCGGCAAGCTGGAGAGGTGGGATAGCCCTGCTTCAAGAGAAGGATTTTGCCAAGACTCATGTTCAGATGTGCCCTCTAGCCCTACTCCATGGGAGAGGCCGTGGACACGACAGTGCTCACAGGATCATAGAATCACAGAATGGTTTAGGTTGGAAGGGACCTTAAAGATCGTCCAGTTCCACCCCCCTGCCCTGGGCAGGGACACCTCCCACCAGCCCAGCTTGCTCCAAGCCCCGTCCAACCTGGCCTTGAACCCCTCCAGGGATGGGGCAGCCACAGCTTCTCTGGGCAACCTCATGCTTCACTTCCTCATGCTTCAGAGACATGCTGAGCTTGTCCATGTCTGTCAGCTCCCTGAAGCCTTGGTATACACTATTTTGGGTTGCGATCAGCAAAAATTTGTGCTACAGAGTGATGTCTTCCTGTTCCCAGTTCTAGCACTACTGTCTAGGATGAAAGGGCAAAGTCATGGCCTGGAACAGAGAACACTTAATTCTCCAATGCAGTGAATCTTCTAGGCCACACAAAAAGTCACATCTTCAGTTAGACGCTGGTTTCTGTGAGGGATTCAGCAAAGAGAGTGTTTAAGCCAGAAAGATGTTATAGCTTCTTCCTGTACCTCTCTGCAATGTGCAGCTGTCTAGCTTCCAAAGCCAGTCTGCTTAGGGTCTTCCACATGGCTTCCGTCTCTGTGGACATTTCCAGTGTCTCCAAAAATGCAGCAGCCCTTGAGACAGAGAGATTTGCAAACCTTCAGTAACAGAATAGAAGAGCTCTCTGAGGAAAATCCTGGGCTGAGACAGGAGCTTCCTAACAAGAGTTACACTGCAAACAGAGTAAGCTGTGTGTGACCAGTTCTGAAGAGGACTGTATAACACAGGGCCTGACATATCAGGGAAAAAAAATCAGTGATCCAGGTGATCCCTATCTGGGCTAAGGTACTTAGAGGCATATGATCACCAAAAGGCTGCAGCAGTGTGGGAGAAGTCCAAAGTGTGTCTGAAGTAAATCCCTGGTGCAAAGAAGTCTCTCAAGTGCTATCACTGCTACAAACGTGAAATTCTCTTCCCTGGTCAATTTTAAAGCCCTATAACAATGTCAGCCATACCCAGGTGGCTACCATGACTGCTTCAGGCAGTCAGCTTTTACTGTGCACAGCTCCTGAATGTTTCCATGACACTGTCACCACGCCTGGAGGGGCAGCAGCAAAAGTACTTTTCACATCTGGTTACTACAGAAGACACACTTATTCACTGCAGTTAAATGAAAACTGCCTTCAGTGACTTTCTGTAAGTGTCAATGGGACAGTCTCTTGTGCCACGTAGTTGAAACCACAGAGCTGTGAGGATGAAAATGCTGAATATTCACTCTTGAAGGACTTTGCTGCACATTATAGCCAGACCTGGCATCAACCTCATGCTCAGAGCCTAAACTGCAACTTTGTATGGAAAGCTGTGCTGCTGTATTTCATGGATTGCCAAATCTCAGGTGCCTATGTGAGGTGGGCCATCACCATGTAGTGTATCTAGCACTTACCTGTGATAATCCCCATCATCAATGGCAGTTCCAAACTCTATGAGGCCTTCGTCCAGGGTGTAGGACACAGTGTTCACCCCCTCAGATACTATCACTTCAGTCTTTCCATCATTCCGTTCCAAGTCTACAATATCCCCCTGGAAAGAGTACAAGCTATCAACACTCCCATGCTCTCCTAAAGTATGCGGGGTAGCAGGGATGTGAGGACAGCACTGCGACAGCTCTGCTGATTTCAGTTCTGCTGAATGAGCTCACACTGAGCAGACATCATCCTTATCTCACCAGAGGGAAGGAAAAAGCCACTGAGCAGCTCCTTCCTGTATTGACTGTCTCCATGTTCTGCCAGAAATGCCTGCCACAAAGTTGACAAGATGAGCTCATATTTTGCCCAGGAGAAACTAGCAGTTCCCTTCTGTCTCCCTTCTGCAGTACTACCCTGACTATTCCCAAACATGTGAGCAAGAAGTAACAGAAACTGCTGGAGGTGGTCAAAGTCTCCAGAGATTTACCTTCAGAGGAAACATGGTGACTCGCTCTGGAGCATCAATGTTATACCAAATGCAGAGGCTGTTTCTGTTCTGAGCCACCACCACATCGCTGCCTGGGACCCACTGCACATAGGAGCAATAGTTCAAAATGGTGGTCTTGGTGCTGCTCTCAATGTCATAGAGCTGCAACTAGAGGGGGGAAGAGGAGAAAAAGGCTCAGCTGGGCTCATGGGTGTGCTGCTAGCTCACATCAACATGGCAGGAACATCTGAGCAAGTATCTTGTGAACAGGTATTACTTATTATCAGACTTTTTCCAAGATAACGCAGCCCAAACTTCCACACTGTTACTTACACACATTACTATCCAAGACCTCTTTAACCCCTGCTGTATTTAAATGGGGGAATCACAGAATCACAGAATGGTCAGGGTTGGAAGGGACCTCTGGAGATCATCTAGTCCAACCCCCCCGCCAGAGCAGGGGCACCCACAACAGGTTGCACAGGACGGCATCCAGGCAGGTTTTGAATGTCTCCAGAGTAGGAGACTCCACAACCTTTCTGGGCAGCCTGTGCCAGTGCTCCACTACCCTCAAAGTAAGGAAGTTCCTCCTCATGTTAAGATGGAACTTCCTATGTTCACGCTTGTGCCCGTGACCCCTAGTCCTATCACTGGGCACCACTGGAAAAAGACTGCTCCCATCCCCCTGGCATTCTCCCTTCAGGTATTTGTAAGTGTTAATAAGATCCCCCCTCAGTCTTCTTTTCTCTAGACTAAAGAGACCCAAGGCCCTCAGCCTTTCCTCATATGCCTTCGTTACTGTTAGGTACATAAGTATATAAACCGGAATATGCCTTGTCCTACTCCAGTTCCCTCTCAGTTGCAGAGCTGGAACAGGAGAATGGTCTCTTAAATCCTTCCTGCAAACAAACAGGGTGACCAAGGACGGCCTTCTCCTGCAGTTCTGGGCTGAACTGTCCATCCTAGGTAAAGTCCTATTGCAAGAACTGTTGCCAATAAGGTGAGAGGGTGTTTGCAGAATACACTGCCCTGAAACAAACCTGACAATTTGGAAGGTGTAACCTGACACATGGCATAACAAAGATGTATGATGCCTTGTAACTTAAAAGTCCTAGACTGTCTCTGTTCCTCGACATAATTGTCCTCACCTAGCAAAGATGACAGAGAAAAAGAAAAGAAAATTGTGCTAATCTCATGACATACCAATCAAAAGAGAACAAGAAAGTCCCTGTTTCAGTCTGTACCAAACTGGTTGGTGAAATATGTACAGACATAGCTTAGGAGAATCACAATATTGTCTGATTTAGGCTGGTGGCAGTATTTAATGAAGGGGCTGGCTATGAGACCTCTTGAGAGGCCCGAAAAGGAGCCAGAAGAGGCAACAACAATCTCGATGATGCCACAACCTCTTGTTGAGACAGGGAATTAGAGGACCCAAATACAAGCTGAACAAGATTGCAGAAATAAATATAAAAAGATATGTTGCTGGGAAAGTTCTTTCTTCTCACATGATAGGACATACAGAGCCTTGTGGAAATGTACTTATCACTTACAAATAGAAGCCTGTTTCATTTGGTGCAGGCTGCAATCACTGTTAATACCTTTCTGAAGAGTAACAGTGCAGCAGAGCCCAAGCAGAAGCCCTTCCTACTGGCAGTCATTCAGTCTCCTTTGTAGTGAAGGTCTTTCTTGACTGATACCTTCACAGATATGTGAAAGTAGTGTCCTAAAGACACACATGGAACAATCCTCCTTCTGAGAGTTAAGAGGGTCTTGATTAGAGAGGCACTGTAACGCAGATGCAGAAATTACATTTTTTGCAAATCCATATTGGGCTGCTCCTTCTATTTCTCTAGAATCACAAAGTACTTGTAGAAGTCCTTGTTCTGTGATGGCCCAGACCCAGAACTACAGTCTTTGTGCAAGAAAGCCCACCTCCAGCAAACTCTTGTCAGAGAAGTTTGTGATAAAGAGTTTGCGAGGCAGCAGACATGTGCACTGCAGTTTTTGGCTACAAAACTGAGCACTCTAGTTGCTATCTGATCAGCTTGGCAGCAAGGAACCAGGAGACAGGTAATTAATTGAAGACTGTGATTCCCAAGCAAGAAGGTATCTTTGCAATCCCTACCATCTTTGATGCAGCCTTAGGGGTCAAGCTGCCAAAAATGACAGCGAAGAAGCCTGGGGTTCCTGTCTGAAATGTGAGGGGTGAATTCAGAGTTTCTTCTGAGATGAGGCTGAGAAAGTTCTCAGGGATTTCAACACATCTGCACTAAGGAGAGAGGTACAGCCAACGTGGAAATATTCTACTGCAGACTGCCAGCTCCCAGTGGGACCTGAACTCTGGAGCCATTAAAACCATCCTGTGATGAGTTGCAGTGCTACAGCTGGGGTCTGCCACAGCACCTGGAACACCTGCACAGAAATTCTACATGTGAATTACACCATTGTCAAGAGGGTCATGTTCTCTTCTCAGGACACTCTTGTGACAAGAGGAGCAAATGAAGTCAAGTGGTCAGGGAGCCTTACACTCATAGTAGCGAAGAAGGCTGGACAGTGAACTGAGTGGAGCTGTAATACAATTGATAAATACACATTCTGGCCTGCTGCAGTGAGCTGCTTCAGCTGTAGCTGTGCAGTTAAACTAAACAAGGATAGCACATGAGGTGAGTACCTGCACATCATAATCTGCAGTGTGAAACTTACCATGATTTTGGGCATAGTTTTGTCCTGGGCTTACGAGTACTCTCCCAGACAACATTCAGTCATGGTCTAGGAATCAGGAAAAGCCGAGGCCATGCCAAACAAGCTATTTGGTTGTGACTACGCTGTTTTAGAGAATTGGAGAGTTCATCTTACAGACTTAAGCCAAGCTGTTGCAGAGAACACCTTTTTTAAATTTACATGTTTAAGTGCAACATTAGGGTCCTCATCCTGAGATTAACCCACTGGTCTCCATCTCACAGCAGAAGAGTCTACGATCTTCATTTTCATGGGTGATGAGATGAAGCAAGATGTCTAGTAACTAACTTCAGAGTTAGCTATGACTCAAGACCAAACAGGCAATGCTGCCAGCTTATGCAATCTGAACGTGGTCTATCTTCCCCAAAGGAGTAGTCAAAAAATAAGGAGTACTTCAGATGTGTTTCTCACCTCCCTCCCTCCATCTGGGCCTATCTGTCTTTACCTCTCCCCAGGCATGCCATCTTGCCACACTCCCCCAGGTGCGCCCGCCTCACCCTCATCTTCTTGTCCCTGAAGAGTAGTTTGTGGCCTGTTTCATTCAGCTCCAGCCAATCAATCTTGCTGTCATGGCTGATAGTGCCAGCGTTGTAGCCACCAACAAGGTCCACTTAGGAAGAAAAGAAAGAAAATAGTATAAGTACCCAAAGTGCCTCAGGGTGCTGAACATCCAATGCTTTCCCAGGGGATCAGGGCCCTGGGACCTAATTAGAGCAGGACCTGCTGGCAAACACACTGTGATGTGAAAAGTAGACTGCAGTGCCATTTTATCTTGATGCCTTATCAACAGCAGTAACTCCCTCGACCCCTTTGTGAGCATGCACAGACCACAGGCAGCGCAGGCAGCAATATCGTCACGCTGCACTGCACAGAATCGCAGGTGTAGGACACAGCCACAGCCACCCCACCGCTGTGTCCACACCAGGCAGCCAACCTGCCAAGAGCAGGGCAGCCCGGTCTCTAGTGGTCTGCTGCCAGGCAGAGTGAACGCGAAGGGGGCCTTCAGGGATATGCTGCTTGGTAGAGGGAATGCAAAGAGGGCCTTCAGGGATATGCTGCCTGGCACAGAAAATACAACGGCATCAGAAAGGCTAGCAACATACAGGGGAGGGAAGTTTACATTCACCTGTTGCTATAGTCTTGATGTCTATCAGATAAGACAGTCTCTTGTTCTCCTCCGTGCCTCTCTGCCGTCTCTCATTGATACGGACACTATTATTTGAAAGGAATGATGACAGTTACCTTTACTATTCTCTAAATTCACAGGACTGAATCACATAGCGCCCCCCCAGACTTACCTGCAGTTTCCCCAAGCACATGGAGCCTTCTGCAGTTCTCTGACCTGTGACTTTTGCACAGTACCTACAGCTGCCTCAAATGAGAACAAACCTTTCTGATTCATGGCTTCAGTCCGGAAGCTGTCCCTCTGATACCAGGGTCCCCAACAGCAATTAGTTATGCTGCGTTCACCTCTGAGCAGTCCACGATCCTCCCTTCTCTCAAATCAGAAAATGGAGTATGGTATTTCAGAGGCAAGAGGTCACACTGGCATCTAGAGTCCCTGCTAATGCTGTACGAGGACCAGCTGGATGCAGAGATGCCTGAGTACATGTATAGGAGACCCCCCTTCAGCAATACCCAAGTCAGGCTTCAATAAGCATGTATCAGAGGAAAATGGGCTCTTGTGCTTCTAAAACTTTACAACCGTTAAGTGTAACCAAGCAATTAAACCCCACCATTAAGGCACATGGAAAATAAGGAGGTCAGTGGTGACAGCCGACATGGCTTCACTAAGGGCAAATCATGCCTGGAAAATTTGGTGGTCTTGTATAACGGCGTTACAGCACTGATGGATAAGGGAAGAGCAACTGACATCATCTACCTGGACCTGTGCAAAATATTTGACACTGTCTCACATGACATCCTTGTCTCTAAACTGGAGAGACATGGATTTGACGGATGGACCACTGCGTGGATAAAGAATTGGCTGGATGGCCACACTCAAAGAGCTGTGGTCAATGGCTCAATGTCCAAGTGGTGACCAGTGACAAGTGGTGTTCCTCAGCAGTCTGTACTGGAACCAGTGCTGTTTAACTTCTTTGTTGGTGACATAGATGTTGGGATTGAGTGCACCCTAAGCATATTTGCCAATGACACCAAGCTGTGTTGTGCGGTCAACATGCTGGAGGGGAGGGATGCCATCCAGAGGGACCTGGACAGGCTTGAGGGGTGGGCCCGTGCAAACCTCATCAAGTTCAACAAAGCCACATGCAAGGTCCTACATGTGGTTCGGGGCAATCCCAAACAAATACAGACCCAGTGGAGAATGGATTGAGAGCATCCCTGAGGAAAAGGACGTAGGGGCACTGGTGGATGAAAAGCCAGCAATAAGCCGGCAATTTGTGCTCTCAGCCCAGAAAGCCAACCACATCCTGGGCTGCATCCCCAGCAGCATGGCCAGCAGGGTGAGGGAGGGGATTCTGCCCCTCTACTCCACTCTCTTGAGATCCCATCTGAAATATTGGGTCCAGCTCTGGAGCCCTCAACACAAGGACAGGGACCTGGTGGAGCAGGTCCAGAGGAGGGCCACGGAGATGCTGCGAGGGCTAGAGCCCCTCTGCTGGGAGGACAGGCTGGGACAGTTGTTCAGCCTGGAGAACAGAAGGCTTCAGGGAGACCTTAGAGCCCCTTCCAGTCCCTAGAGGGGCTCCAGGAGAGCTGGGGAGGGACTCTGGATCAGGGAGGGGAGCCATGGGATGAGGGGGAACGGTTTGACACTGACAGAGGGGAGATTGAGATGAGATCTGAGGAAGAAATTGTTTCCTGTGCGGGTGGTGAGCCCCTGGGGCAGGTTGCCCTGAGAAGCTGTGGCTGCCCCGTCCCTGGAGGTGTTCAAGGCCAGATTGGACAGGGCTTGGAGCAAGCTGGGCTGGTGGGAGGTGTCCCTGCCCAGGGCAGGGGGTGGCACTGGATGATCTTCAAGGTCCCTTCCAACTCAAACCATTCTATGATTCTGTGACCGTTGGTCACTGTCAAAAGCAGATTACTCAAGTCCCAGTGTCTGGGGGCTGTGTTCTACAGACTGGGACACTTCCAAGTGTATATATCTGAGGTCACTCTCTCAAAATGCAGTACAGGTAGGTGTGACACTCACCTGACGAGATGAGGGTTCATGAACTCTGTGCGGACAGACCCCAGGATGTCATTGCTTCCATATTCCACCAGTGTCAGCTCTCCAGCATTAAAGATCATGCAGACCTGAAGGTGAGAGGGAAATACACTCTTACAGAAAACCCAGGTAAGCACACCTACCTGCCAGTGAGGTGTGCAGAAAAGAACTCTGCTGCACACAATTCTAAATTCAAACCCTCTGGGATGACTAAGGAATTGTCCTTGGCTTTTTGTTGTGCCTGACAGATTTTCCTCAGTTAGGGATGTTAGTTCTAGGCGTATCAGTCCTGCAGGAGGAGCCAAACTGTCACCCTAACAGCTGTATTCTGTACCTCTAACATCCTCTCTGGCCGTTGCTCTTTTATTGCTCCTCCATACACTGAGTTTGTTCTGTACCAGACATGTGGAAAAGGCTAGTATGGGGAGGAAGCAGATCAGGATCTGCATGGAAAGGGCACGTCCAGGAGACTGCTGAGAAATGGGATTTTCCAGCAGTGCATTCGACACTTTTTCTGCTGATGCACACACGGCTTTACTCACCATTCACGGGTAGCATACTGTCCCATCCAACTTACATTCTCATTGTCGAAGAAGAACTTCTCATTCCCTCCAGATCCTTGCCAGGCTACCTACAACACAATGACATGGAGTAAGCAAATGCCAGGCTGACAGCTCCTGCAGAGGACCAGGTTGCAGGCATTGTGGTCTGTTGTCCAGCTCTTAACTCCCACAACAGACAGCAAGAATTACACCCCACAAGGGATCACGTTCCAGCACTTCGGCTGTGAACAGTGTTGTTCAGCCATTCCCAGCTTGCAAGTTCCTCACTTCCCCCTCCTGTTTTTTATCCTCTGCTTCAGATCCCTGTTCACTTTGTCTAGTATCTTATGGCCTTCTGGACGAGAGGCCTTTATGTGACTTCCTCTAGCCTGTTCTCTCCCAGGCACTTCATCTTCCTCTAGACTAACTTTATTATAAAAAGTACCCCCAACAGCCCCTTTGCCTCAGTAAATCTCCTCTGAATTTCTACACCATATGTAGCTGAAACCTTTCTCTTCTGGGGCCACATCAGCAATGACTGATCAGCATAGTGCCAGTGGGGTACCAGCTGATTTGGAATTTGAGAAAAGCACTGGATAATGCAATAATTATTGTGAGGACAACAGGCAAGTAGTCAGAGAGGCAGAAAACTGAAAGCCAAGGTTGCGGCTGTCCTTTGCTCTTCTTGAGCAAGAGCTCCAAGTCACTGCTTCAACAAAACATCAAGATGGTAAATGGACCTGAAAGGAGGTTGTAGCAAGGTGGGCGTTGGTCTTTTCTCTCAAGTAACAAGTATCAGGGCAAGAAAAAATGGCCTCAAGTTGTGCCAAGGGAGGTTTACATTGGATATTAGGAAAAATTTCTTCACTGAAAGGGTTATCAGGCACTGGAACAGGCTGCCGAGGGAAATGGTTAAGTCACCATCCCTGGAAGTATTTAAAAGATGTGCAGATGTCACACTTACGGACACAGTTCAGCAATGGACTTGGCAGTGTTAGGTTTGCGATTGGACTCAATGATCTTAAAGGTCGTTTGCAACCTAAATTATGATTCTGTGACTACTCACAACCTTATTCTTTATAAGAAGTAAGTATACCTGCGCAGCTGAAAGAAAAACTCTGTGCAGTATGATGTAGAGAAACCTGGGACATTTAGTCTGGCTGGATTTTCAGTTGGATTACTAAGGATAAGGACCCTCCAACTCAAACCTGTCGTCAGGAGCTCCTGCTCCCAGCTAGATTATTAGCACACCATTAGCCTAATTAAAAGTATATGATACCTATGTGAACAAAGCAAATACATCCCGAAGCCGATTTAATACTTTTATCAGACACTAATCTACTGCCCATGTTCTCCAGGCTTGGCACATAGGCTCACTACTCAGTGCGCTGTGAGGCTCAGGGTGCAGACAGTTTTGTACGAATTGTCTGGTACCAGAAATGGTACTGGTGTAAGCTGTGGTACTGCAGTCGTGAATGTTTTCTGTTGCTTTGTTTTTATTTAAACACACTAAGATTCATACATTCACACCTGGAACGTACATATGTACAGCGTCTGGCATTGGGGCCCGCAGGACAAGAAAGACATTGATAAACTGGAGCAAGATCAGCCAGAGCCACCAAGAAGATGGTTGGGGCTGAAGCACCTGCACTGCGAAGAGAGGTTGAAGGAAGTGGACTTCTTCAGCCTGGAGAAGGGAAGGCTTAAGACACCTCTAATAGGGTGCTGCCAGGCTTTTTTTTTGCAGATACACAGTGAAAGGATGAGAAACAGTCATAACTTAAAACAGAGATTCCAACGAGACTTAAAAAAAGAAAGCTTTTCCCCATGAGGACAGTAAAGCATTGGAAGAGGGGACCAGAGAAACTGTGGGATCTCCATCCTTGAAGGTTTTCAAGACCAACCTGGATAAAGCCCTGAGCAACCACATCTGAATTTAAAGTTGACCTTCCTTTGGGTAGGAAGTTTGATAAAAGACCTCCCAAGGTCCCTCGCAACCTGAGTTATTCTATGATTCTTTGAAAACAAATGTATTGTTCCCACACAGAAAACATATCCTTTGAGTTACAAAGTTAAGCATTTGACACCCAAGAAATGCCATAGATTTTCCAGTACCTCACTGAGCTTGTTGGAGCTGATGTCACCCAGCAGTAATGTGTCTGAAGTATGGGCCACCAGATATCTGTCTTTCCCTTTTTCCTCATCAATCTCATAACCGTACTGGGATTTCAACACAATTCGAGTTCCTGTTGAGAGGTTCTTCACAATGACCTAGAGAAAGTGGGAAAAAGCAGTATGAGGCTGTGTTTCCATGCACAGAGGAAGAACACAGACTTCTTGCCCCATGGAAGATTATATAACAGATGATATTTGGGTATTTAGATGTCCCCTCACATCATTTCACTCTGCTTTTTAAAGAAACCTTACCATTCCTTTTGTATGGGATGACAACTGTAGTAGAAATGTGGGATTCTCACTTCAGCCATTTAGAAGTTTCTAGCCTAATCGGAGGACCATGCAGGCCCTTGAGAATAAGCCACCCTCTGAGAGTCCTAAGCTCTCTCCACTGACTACTAGCTCACCCTTACTACCTGATTTTGAAACAGGTAAAGATGGCTGAAATTAAACCATTTAAGGAACCTGCATTAGGCATGGAGGTACCTTACACAAATTCACAAGCGAGGAAATAAACTCCATTGTCTTTGCTCCTAGCCAATTTCCACCCAGCCTTGACACTGTCCCTGGAACATTCTCTATGCCTTTCCCGACAAGTTGCTATGAACAAACTGTAAGTGCACATGTGTACCTAAAATACTTTGGTAATTTTGGTGCATCTTTTTCAAGGCAGTGTAATTGCTTAAAGGGAGGAGGGAATGAGGTAAATGGACTCGGAGAAATTGCCATCACTCCCAACTCTTTCAAGTATAGTTTTACTGGGGCTGAAGCTAACTACTGTACAGAATTTAGAGAGTTCCCTCAGCTGATCACAAGGAATCTGTCCCTCTGGGGTCTGTATTGTCCCTCAGGGGTCCATACTGGGACCAGTACTGTTTTATATCTCCATCAATGACACTGACAGTGGGATCAACTGCACCCTCAGCAAGTCTGCAGATGACAGCAAGCTGAGTGGTGCAGTTGACATGCCTGAGGGACGGGATGCCATCCAGAGGGACCTGCACAAGCTCAAGAAGTGGGCCCATGTGAACCTCATGAGGTCCACCAAGGCCAAGTACAGAGTCCAGGTCAGGGCAACCCCCAGTATCAATACAGGCTGGGGGATGAAGGGACGGAGAGCAGCCCTGCCGAGAAGGACTTGTGGGTACTGGGGATGAAAAGCTAGACATGAACCAGAAATGTGCGCTCACAGCCCAGGCGGCCAACTGTATCCTAGACTGTATCAAAAGAAGCATGGCCAGCAGGTCACAGGAGGTGATTCTGCCCCTCTACTCTGCTCAGGTGAGACCCCACCTGGAGTACTGCCTCCAGCTCTAGGGGCCCAAACATAGGAAAGACATGGACCTGTTGGGAGTTATTCCAGAGGAGGACTACAAAGATGCTGCGAGGGCTGGAGCCCCTCTGCTTTGAGGACAGGCTGAGACAGTTGGGGTTATTCAGCCTGGAGAAGAGAAGGCTCCAGGGAGACCTTATTGCAGCCTTTCAGTACTCAAAGGGGCTACAGGAAAGACGGGGACAGACTTTTTAGCAGGGCCTGTTCTGATAGGACGAGGGGTAATGGTTTTAAACTAAAAGAGGGGAGTTCTAGACTAGATATAAGGCAGCAATTGTTTACACTGAGGGTGGTGAGGCACTGCCCAGGTTGCCCAGAGAGGCGGTAGATGCCCCATCCCTGGAAACATTTCAGGTCAGGTTGGATGGGGCTCTGAGCAACCTGACCTACTGGAAGATGTCCCTGCTCATTGCAGGGGCGTTGGACTAGATGGCCTTCAAAGGTTCCTTCGAACCCAAACTATTCTACGATTCTATGATTCTGTGAATGACTGGGCCAAGGACTGGAGACAGATGATGGACAGGAAAGAAGCTGTTGGCACCAAGAACTCCAAACACATCTAGTTTTAGTAAGCATCCCATTTTCATCAATAGACATTAACTCCTTGAATATTCTCTTACCTGGCTTGGTCCCACATACGTCATTTCAAATTTATTTTTGTAAATGCTTCTGCGAAGGCAGCAGTCAAATTGTTCAACTCCTCCACAGAGAGTGCCCTGGGGAAACAAACATATTGCACACAGTCAGTGAATTGTTACAAAGAGGTACTCCAGACCCTATTTACATGAAGAGGATCAGAGACAAGACAGAAATCCACAGGTCCTGGCTGCTCTGGGGAACAAGGCTCAAGCCCCAGATGCATGAGGACCAGCCCTATCTAGACTTTCTTGAGAGAAGAGAAAGATTGAGAAATTCTCAGAGAAACAGAGCTTATCAAATACTGCCATGTACATGGCAGAGGAGGAGGAGGGGTTAAAAATCACCTTTATCCTCATTTTTCCCATTATCCCTCTCAGTTTCCCACTTCTCTCTCTCCCAGCCTCCCAAACTCTCCTCCCTTCCATCAGAATCCTTCCACCTTTCTCTTTCTTTGTAGCATTCCCATTCCTTTCACCACTCTCCTGTCCTTTAGACTCTTCCCCTTCTCTACAGGTATTTTTTCAAGTGTTCATTTCATTCTCTATCTGAAAATATTTCAAGGGTTCTTGATTTTGTTGAGCATAAAAAGATGTAAAAACTATTAAAGTTGTAAATAGCAATCTTCTTAAATAATTTAAGTGCTTTAAAGGGTTATTCAACTTAATACAGAAAGATCTGCAGAAAAAAATAATTTAAAGAGCTTTACAGAATTATTTAACTTAATAGAGAAAGGTAGATCAAGGCCCAATGGCTGAAAGTAGAAGAAAGACAACTCTGAACTGAAAACATAGCACATCATAAACAGAGAATAAGATCAGTTTTTATACTGCTTCTCACAGGTGCTCAGAGGCAAGAATGTTCATGAGACTGCTCTAGAGAAGCGATGCTGACCTTATTAAGCTTCTATGAAAAAAGGAGGACTGCGGCTGCCGATAACCAATTACACAATCGTCCATGATATTTTCCAGCTTCACACTGTGCACACTGCACATGTGACTGCAGCAGTGTCCTTTGCACAAGGTCCCAGCTGAGGCACCTTGCGTCGCACACCCAGGGCTCATAAGCCCTCCCTGTATCACATCACTGTTCTCAGGAGCATGCGTAAGACTGTCCCTGGTGTGTGACTCATGGGCTCAAGGTTGCTGACTGATGATACAAACCACACAGATCCGTGAACCATCCCTCTTCCACGCTAAAGCTGTGATGGTGTAGAGGTGAGCTATTTCTTTGGGTTTGCCTTCCTCCCAGGCACCGCGGCGTGGGCTCCAGTTCAAAACCCTTAACCTGTGAGAACAGATGAGACAGCAGAGATATGAAGAACTGTGTATGGCTGAAGAAGAAAGCACTATAAAGGGGAGACTTTACCATCAGGCACCATACCTATCATAGCTGCCAATGACGATGGACTGGCCGCCAGGACTGGAAGCTGCTGTGGTGAATTCCTTCTCTGATGAATCCCGGCTATAGTCAAAGGTTTGAATCACGTTGCCCTCCTTCCCATAAGCTACAATCTTCTTATCGCAGCCCGCAGCCACAATGCTGTTGGAAGCCCAGGCGAGGGCATAAGGAGGACAGGGATGCATCACCAATTTACCCTACATTAGACAAGAAAGAACATCCTGAAAACATCAATGGCTCCAGCCCCCAACTGGCCTCTGCACTGAGCTGTCACAATGAGACCAGTCTGAGGCCCTTCTGTAAAGTCCCATTCAAGGGGGTCTGTCTGCCTGTCCGTCTGTAGGAAGGTAGGCAGAAACCAGAACTGAGAGATGTATCAACTATTCCACGTGTTTAACTGGGAGAGAAGATTCCTGGTGCCAGTAAGAAGACCAGTACCATTAACTACACTGGGATGCACTCTTAACATACCAGAGTATATACGGGCCTTCAGCATATCATGTTAGAGAGCAGACGTGCTCAAACGGCTTCAGTTGGAGAGGAAAAATCTGAGTGACAATAGCATTCCCTTCACCACAGCTTGAAGCACAGAGACTACTCCTTTTGGGGAGAAGAAGGAGGCTCAGGAGAAATGCTGGGTGCCTAGAGTATCCTGTCCACAGACAGAGTGTGAACTTGGCATTCAGGGTTAACAGGGATAACTATACATTGCTTATTGAGAGGGCTATTCCCTGGAACCCTATCTATTCAAGCATCATGCTCCTGGGCACTCTAACATCAGGTCTTTCCAGACACCTGAAAAGCCTTATGTCTCATGCACAAAAACCTAACTTCTGCTCTTACCACCGCAGTCAGTGTATTTCAAAACATCTAGTCACTGTTCTGTCTTCATCAATGCTCCATAAAACCTATGCTAGCAAGCACAGACTGCAGCTCCTCTCCAGACTTGCACTCCCTCCATGGCCTGATCCCTTTTCAAAGCTCCTGAGCTTGAGAGTAGGCTGTGCAAACAGGAATTTTGCTTATTGAAGAAGAATCTTTGATACCTGTGATTCACCTGAGCCCTCATCATCAAAGAAGAAGCGTACTATGGTTCCATCTGCATGGCCAGACAGGATTCCCTTCCCTGACACACTGCAAAGAAACACAGACAGGATGATGCAATACTGCAGTAAGACTTGCTCCTTTATTTTCATATCCCTGACCAGAAAAGCCAGTCCCAGGGTCATCATTCATGTTTCTCATTAAAGGAACCTTCACCACAAGCAAACTGGGTGATGAACACAAGAATATCTAGTACCTGTATCTGTGTCTGTAAAAACAAAGCAGACAAAAGTACAGAGTGGAAAGGATAGCAGCCAGTTAAGTATCTTCATCATGTAAAATCACAATAACCAACTTTCTGTATTACTAAAACACAGACAGGTTAAGTAATCTTAAGTGCAATAATGACTATGCACACAATTTGTTATAATAAGGTATATCAAACAACTCTTGCATTGGAACTGTTCCTGAAACGAGGCAGGATATTGTAACACCAGGAATCCCTAAAAGCAACACAATTTAGAGAAAAAACCATCTGGACAAACACTCAGGGTCTAAGTCCGTTATTTGTAGCATTAATGTACTTCTTGACACAAGCAAGGAGAAGAGAGCACATAAGAGGAAAAAGGCCTAACATTATGTAGAAAGAACACTTTTTAATGATGATTCAAGTACAAAATACAAATTCTATGAACACTGTAACAATCCAGGAATCACACAGTTGTCTTCTGCTGATTGCAATCCCAGATTTGTCACTGATACCATAGCAATAACAGCATGACTTGAATTTAGAAATAAAAGAAGAGGGGGAGAGAGTGGGGGGAGGATTGGGGGAGAGGGAGAGGAGGGCAAACAGGGAAGAGGAGTTGGGGAAGGAGGAGGTGAAGAGAGAGGAAGAGAGAGAGAGGAAATGGAAACCCTCTGGAATAGAGGCAAAGGCAGACAGACTTTGGAGATATTTCTCAGTAGTAGAACGTCAGAGTCCTAGACTAGCTTTAGGTTTTCTATATTTGTTTGATACTCAAAAACCAGAAGGACACCATTCAGTAAAAACCCCATTGCTAGGACCATGACATATCTTTGATTTTTTAGGTAAAGCATACTGAAGTAGTTAAAATTACATCATAATTAAAATAATTTAAAATTGCACTTTATAGTTATTTTTCTAATCATAGCGCCATCACAGCTTTATCTGGCAGAATATTTTTACTTTTTCTTAGCCCTTAAACTTGACTGATGTTAGTAATTAGCTAGATGAAGTCGACAAATTTAATCTTTATGAAGTCCTGGATTCAAATAAATCAATATATGTAAGTAATCTCATGGGGACTCCCATCCTGAAACGTGTTTGAGGGACAACCAAACTGCATGGGCCAGCAAGGCACAGCCAGGTATCAGACTTTAAGAAGGAATTCCTTCTGGAAAGCATGGTATTTTATTATCTCAACAGGGAATTGACAGTAGAAAGACACTCTGGCAACCTCCCATACTGCCACCAGTTACGCCAGGGCCAATAACGGGGCAGGAGACTGAGCCAAAGCAGTGTAGGCTAAAGCAATGCCATACTCACTTGGAAGTTAGCGAGACCACATAGGAATCTGTCCCGTAAATGGTGGAAGACTTGTTGTTCTTTGTATTTGCTAAACGAACCTGAGAAAGAGAATTTGATCAATTTTGCTTCTGTCTGCAGAATGTGGATGTCCCCCAGTGTAACATCCCCAGAGGTTTCCCAGTCCATGACCGGCTCCAGAAATAACAGGAAGCTCATTGCTTTCTGGTAGGTTGGAGAAGAAATGGAAAAGTTGGAGTCACACCTCCACACTTCTAGAAAGGGTCAGGAAAAGGACCAAATGATCCAGCAGAACCTCCAAGGACCAGAACCTGGTTCCCTCTGAGGGAATCAGAATCAGAAAATTCAACTCAGGGGTGTAATCCTTTTGTTGCTATTTGGTGCCCAGTGCCACATAGTAATGGCTCCTACCCTGCAGCCCAGGTGCTTGCAGGTGCTGGTAGCCCCTGCATGGAAAAGAAAATCAGGCAAACAACAAGTTTCTCTACCTTTCCTTCGGCAAGACCAAAGACAATGATATTCTCCGCTGGCCACGATAAGCAGGTCACAGCACTCTGCCAAGGAGGAGGTAAAAAGAGAGATGAGAGCTCCACCCTACTGAGAAAGCTTCTTGCCCCACTGGCACATAACACAGCTCATGAACAGAAAGACCACTCAGACCAAGAAAGAGAAGAAACGGGGGCATTTGGATGGATCTTAAAGTAGGATTGAGTCCCTCCATGCTGAAGCTTGGACTAGATAATAGTGAGCTGGCTCAGAAGGGCTAAAGCAGGGCATCAAAGTTATACCAGACGTGCTATACTAGTATGGATGCTCTTCTGGGATTATTACTTATTCATCAGATGTGTGGTTTTCCACATGCTATTGTCGAATGTACAAAAACATGGCTATTTTAAGATTTTTTTTTTCAACAAGTATAAAACATAAAAATAATTTGACTCTGCTAGCTTCTGTAATAGATATGAGGCTATTTGTACATTGGATCTTCATTTGATAAATCAGAAACAGTCATTATTTATATTTTTAGTTTACAAGCAAGATGGTTATCAGATGCTACAAAGTAGGTCAAGTAGAAATGGGTTCATTAAACCCAAACCAAAGGTATTCTCAAAAGCTGAGGTGGGGGTCAGGATGAATAAAGCTGAGCACGAAACCCAACTGTAAGAGAGGGCCAAGAGAGTTACTGAAACACTGAGAAACAAGAGAGTCACATTAACACTGAAGAATTTCAGTCAATCAGGTGGGTTATTGGTGTTTGGCACTGTGCCACCAGCAATAACCTCACTGGCTCATCTGTTCCATTTTAAACATCTGGGCCTGCTTTACACATATATACACCCTCATTTATTCATATCACCTTCTATCCCCCACTCTTACCATTGATATCAGCAAAGATAGCTACAATCAGATACCAAAATGTCCATGGATACCTAAGCTGCTCATAATTTATATGTCCAAGCAATGACCAAGACCCATTTTTTATTACACCTGTTTCCCAGACACCCGTATCTTTCCCTCATTATCTGCTAGACCCTTACTTTCAGCCTAACACAACAAGTAGCCCAGTGGTAGCTCACAAACAATCCTCACAAAGTGGTAATGAGCTCCGCTACTTGTGTAAAGAAGTGAAACTTGCACATACTCATCCTGACCCTCCAGCAGGATGCCTTGCCTGCCAGCAGAGCAGTGTCACTGTATTCACCAGATGTACAGGACTGCCCAACAGGTTTTGCAAATGGCAGGAGAGAGAAAGGGCTTAATAAATGATCACTCATATTGACTGAACACACCAAAAATTTATAAATAACAATATTTAGTTACAGGGGAAACCCGGACACAGTGGTAAAAACCCACACATATAGCATTAGGAAAAATAAAGGATTTATTACAGTAGAAATGATAGAAAAGGCACGGAGGAAATGAGAGAATGAGAAAAAGAGAAATGAACCACTACATTAAAAATACAAAAACCTGTGTGCATGCTGTGGGCAGCACCGAAGCTTGTGAGAGGCAAGCAGGCTCCCGGCAGGCTGTTAACCAGGTGCCGCAGCGAAGCAGCGCCAGAGGGGCAGGGAGCTCGTCCTGCCAGCAGGCAGCTAGCAAGCAATGAACAACAAAAGGACCCTCCAGTGAGGCTACAGGTATCCACACCCCATTAACCATCATGTTCAGGAAAGGGACAAGTGGACACCAAGCCCCTTTTACTCTCCTTTCCTCAGGACAGTCTATCCAGTGTCATGACCATTCAGCGCAGCAGCTCAAACACAGAGAAAAAAAGGCTTTCTTCACTTATTGCCAGAGCAACAGAACTACATAGGTTCCCCTCCATCAGCCAGGAGTGTTCAGAGAGGTTAGAGGGCCCTCCTAAGCCGCAGTAAGAGCAGCCGCAGTGGTGGGCCATGACCCAGCCCTGCGATGTAGACTTTCAAACCAGAGCCTCCGGCTGGTCTTCACCTGAGAAGCAGCTTGAGAACGCCTGGCACAGAAACTCCAGCAACTACATCAGGAGTGGCTCTACTTATGTCTCCTGGGGATTTGGCCCCAGGCGGTGACTCCTCCTAACTGGTACTGGCTCCCTCAGGGGCCTACACAGCAGAGAACTCCTCTAGGGACACAGAGAAACCGGGGGTCATAGCGTGATGGCAACTGGCTGGAAAGCCTAGGGCGGCTGCTGGACATCTGCCCCTGAAGGTAAAAGAACTAGTCATTGCACTGCATTTTCTCATACAGGTGTTTTTCTATCCAAGGGATTTATAACACCTTTGCCTTTTCCAGATACTTACACCAACCTCAGGACAATCCTTGCCAGACACCTACCGAGCAGTGCTCTCTGACACACACAGGCAGAGCCAGAGGAGCAGAGCATGAAGGCGGCCAAGGAGATAACCTGACTGAAATCACAAACCTGAGGTCTTTAAACATGGGGAAACTGTGCAGTTTGACTGAACTCTGCACGCTTTACATTTTGGTTAATAAGGAATCTTGGGGCTTAGAGCTGCCAACTTGTTGCAACTGCCAAACAGTTGAGCTCAGAGTGTCTCCTATGTTTCCATTTCAACTCCCTTAAAACATTCTGTCCACTGATGCCTAAAGTATTCCCCAAGTTTTGTAATTGACTGCATTGATCATTCAACAATTACTCACTGTTGTACCCAGGCATTATGAGACCTCTGAAGCTTGGCGAGTAATACATGCCTCAAAATTTAGAGATTATCTTAGGATCTACCTGCATCTTTTGGACATCAAGTACCACAGACAGTTTGGCAAAGTATACCTCTGAGTATAAGCAAAGAGATATTTAATTGTCTTTATCCTAGATATGCTGGAGAAAATGGAGTTAAACAGGAGTCTGGGTCTCACCGTTTGGATGAACTTGTTGCATATCACTTTCTTGTCACCCCTGCAGAAAAAGGTAGACAAAAATTACTGTCAGTGAAGCTAGTAATACCGCCCATTCTGGTTACCCTGCTGTTTGTATTCAGTCTGGTTTAGTATTGCCAAGCACAGACCATTTAAGTTTTGTACACTGGTTGTTTGTCATAAGGCAACTTTAGGCAGAAAATTTTAAAAAAACCCAAAACTTCAGAGCTTCCAAAATTCTTGTGACCTGCCTTTCTGAGCAGCTTTAACACAACACACACCAGCAAATGAGGCTGAAGTGAGGCAGGTTCCACATCTATGAAACAGGGGACAGCAGCATAGGCTACTGCTCCACAGAAGCTCAGCTAGTGCATGGTCACACAGGGTTTCACGTGGACTGTGTTCAAGGAAACCCTATCTGCTGCTCACCATAGAAACATCTGAGTGACTCACTGCAGGTTAGATGATGCGCAATGCGTATAGAGCTGAGGAGCAGGCCAGGACACTGATGCAGGTAGCATCAACCTTGTGGCCAAGAAGGCCAATGGCATCCTGAGGTGCATCAAGCAGAGTGTGGCCAGCAAGGCAAGGGAGGTCATCCTCCCCCTCTGCTCTGCCCTGGGGAGGCCACATCTGGAGTGTTGTGTCCAGTTCTGGGCTCCCCAGTTCAAGAAGGACAGGGAACTGCTGGAGAGGGTCCAGCAAAGGGCTACGGACGTGATAAGGGGACTGGGGCATCTTTCTGATGAGGAAAGGCCGAGGGAGACTTGGGGCTTTTTAGTCTGGAGAAGAGAAGACTGAGGGGGGATCTTATCAACACTTATCAATCCTTAAAGGGAGGGTGCCAGGGGGATGGGAACAGTCGTTTTTCAGTGGTGCCCAGTGACAGGACAAGAGGTAAGGGGCCCAAACATGACCATAGGAAGTTCCATCTCAACCTGAGGAGGGACTTCTCTGCTGTGAGGGCGGCAGAGCACTGGCACAGGCTGCCCAGAGAGGTGGGGGAGTCTCCCCCTCTGGAGCCATCCCAAACCCCCCTGGACGCCGTCCTGTGCAACTGCTGGAGGTGCCCCTGCTCTGGCGGAGGGTGGCACTGGGGGAGCTCCAGAGAGGCCTTCCCACCGTGACCCGTCTGGGATTCTGTGACCAACACCTGGAAAGCACACCGTACGGCAGGGAGGAGAGTGCCATCCCCTCCTCACAGTCGCTGGACTCTCCACCACCAGACTCACCACTCCTCCCCAATCCTGTAGACGTAGACGATGTTGTCCGTTTGGCCAATGGCGATTTTGGTGGAGTCTGGGGAGAAGGCCATGCCTTTCACCATGTAGCTCTTCCGGCCGTACTGTGGAGGGGATGGCGGTGTGAGCCACAGGGGAAGGCTGGTCTGCCCCGAGCGCACTCGCACCGGCCCACAGCCCCAGGGCCGTACCGGCCCCGCAGGCCCCCGGCAGCAGGCCCCGGCAGCAGGCCGGGCCGCGGGCCTTCACCTTGGCGTCGGCAGGCTTGGTGGAGAACTTGTCGCGCCGCTCGCCCTGCTCGTCGTACAGCAGCACCACCCGGTCGGCGGTGCCGGCGGCGAACCGCGCGCTGTTGGCC